GCTCTCCCGTCGAACGGCGGACTTCACCTTGACGTTTGGTCAGGTCACGAACTCCCCCCTCTGCAGAGGGCTCATTCAAAATTCTTATACTCTGTCTTGTGTGTGAATTCTTTAAAGGTGATACGAGGGAAAAAATCCCTAACATTCTTGGCGAGCCAGCCAGGAGCTCCCCGCAATCTGTTCGTCGGTGGGACTCGACAGGACGCGCTGAAAGGTCGGCAATAGGCCACCCAAAAGCCCCGGACACTGATTGTGTCACAGGCCAGCAGGATAGGTTCAGGTTCGAGACATCGGGGACAGACCGGCGGAGCTCCGACCCATCTCTCACACAAGGCGAGTATGAGACTTTTCCTTTTTTTTTATAAGCAAAGTCGAACAGTGAGGTTGTTTGCTCAAAACAAGGCTGAGACCCTGTTAAAGTGAAGCTGTTTTGCCCATACAATCAAGACCTGATTAAATAGTGAAAAAGAAAAAACAGTTTAAGCCAAGACCCAGTATAGTACAGAAGTGAGACAACTGGTGAGGCGTTAAATGAAAAGCAAGTGAGATTCTAGGGTGGTTAAGAAACTTACAAATAAGTAACGTGAAAAAAAAAGAAAGAGATTTTTCACAGGTTACAAGCACAAGTGAGACCTTTCCTGAATCAAGATCTTAATTGCCATTTTTAATATAAAATGAGTCAAGACCTCCTCTGGAAGTGAGATTTCTAAGGGTTGAGAAACTTATAAACAAGCAACGTGAAAAAGGTGAGATTTTTCATGAGTAACGTGAGAAAAGTGAGATTTTTCACCGATTACAAGCAGAAGTGAGACCTTTCCTGAATCAAGATCTTAATTGACAAAAGCAGGTGAGACTATTTGTCAAGACCCTTTCTAAAATTTTGAGTGAGACTCATAAGCCGGCATTTATTCTGAAAAATTGTGAGACACGTGCAAAACTCCTGTCTGTCTGTGTGTATGTTTAAAGTGACAGGCTGATCCTGTGGAGGATCCTTGCTGTACTAACAGACGGGACCCGAAGCAGATTTGCTTACAACCTTTTTTTTAACTGAGTTTGGGTTAAGTGAATCTTTTTCATCTGGGGAACAAAGACTGCAGCTTTGTTTGTCAGAAAAAAGACAACACCCACTAACTGCATAAGAAAAAAAACAAAAAAAAAAACAAAAAAACCCCCGCTAAAATACCTTGTCTACTTCGCCTGTAAGCTTATTGAGTAATATAAGTTTACAGATAACTGTTCACTATTTGTTTTTTGATTCTATAATGTCCTTCAAGCGTACAGCTGACTTTCTCTGTTATCTGTGGTGTTGCCGGCTCTCAGTCTGGGAGACCAAACGCACGCACGCATTGAACTCCCTCCTGTGTGATAACCACACACACGCACAAACACACACGCTCGTGAACGTCATGTTGCACTAAAGTTTTAAGAAGTTTGACACTCTAAAAAACACGTTATCTGAATTTAGATAAAATATAAATAAGAATACTGCATGATGTTGAAAAATAGAAATTGACATTGATTTTATAAGCCATCTACATTGGGTAAGATAGCTACTGTTTATAATCTTGTGCCAAAACCCAACTTAGAAAATATCTGAAATTCCCTTTAACTGACTGAATTAATTTATAAAAAATTCTGAAATGTCCCTTTAAACTGTTTAAATTCACTTCATGTCAAGAGAATACCTCTGACCTTTGAAACCAAACCACACTTAATAAAAATTAACTACTAACGGCTTATTAAATCTATAAATTAGGTGCAAATTTAACATAATATAATTAAATCCGAGATAGCCACATTAGGAGTTGACGGCTCATTTTAAGCAGACCTAACAATGTACATTTTAGCAGACTTAGCACTGTTAAGGCATTAAATATGGATAATACACTAATAGATTGTGTTCTCGTTTCATTTACTGTAGGACAATTCAGACCGTTTAAGCTTTCACGACCTTTGAGTTTTGACTTGTGTAGTGTAGGAAGTTCTGCCTTAAATTCTGAGTTTAGTGTTGATGGTGTTTTTTGGCTTTCACTATGAGGTGCTGATTGAGATCCTTGTGTTGGTCAGAGTGCAGTTACGACACCGCTGGAGGTAGAGGCAGATGGATTTTCAAGAGATGGAAATGGCTATCAGAGAGCTCAATCTGAGCTTTATTTGTCTATGTGTAACTTGAGATGGAGAACTTTACAATTGGATTTGTTATTTGGGTAGTTGACTTAGCTATTTAAGACTGTTTCTGTTAAGTGCCCCGAGACAACTTTTTGTTTGGTTTAGAGCTATTAATAAATAAATTAAGAATAATATCAGGATTTAATTGGATTACTTTATTTTTAAGCTAATCTTAAATTAAGAAAAAGTTGAACTGAGTGAGTTCTTGAACCTGGAGGGACGTTCTGATGACACATAATGCACAATTATTCATATAAGTTGCTGAAAACCCACATGCAAGTTGCAGTTTGACATCTTGGACTGGTTCTGAAGTGCCCAGTAGTGTATCCCATGTGCAGGTTGATGAAAAACTAGGCTGACAAGAACTTGTGACTTTATGAGACCACATTCTGTTCTGCTACCAAACAACAACAACAAAAATCTAAGTCTGGAGCACATAGACTTGAACTGAAACAAAATGCTGATGTCTGTGG